CTGGAATAAATCACATAAATCATTGGGGGTAATCTGATTTTTCTTTAGAAAATTAGTTATGTCGCATATAATGCTCTGTCCGTTTGCTTAAATGGACAGCAAGGCGCTGAGGAAATGAGGTAGCAATTCAGATTGTTTTATAAAGGGAAGAAATAATGCATAGTTTACAATGAGATATATGGGGTGAACATGAAATTATAGAAGGGCAAAAGTGGCTGGCAATTTGATCATATTGATCTTTGATTGAACATAGCATATATGAAAAAAGCATTCCCATTACTATATGTATAAGAGCTGAAAAGCAAGAAATAATAATAATAAAAAAAGAAGTAGCAGAAGCTAGGACTTGTCATAATTCCTGTATACCCCAACAGTGCATAGAAATACTTCAGATACTTCAGAAATGAACATTTATGAATTTTCCTCTTCAGATTTGTTCCTTAAAATTAAAAGTTTTTGAGAGATTAATTTAAATTATAGGCTAATTTATATGGCGCCAAGATAGTGAGGCTGGGAATTATTTTGCTTTCATTACAAGATGATAGTTAAACATATGGTCATGATCTAATTTTAGAGGATATTGAATTAGGTTACATATTAGGCAAAAATTTCCCAAAAGGCTTATGAGGTAAGGAAAATCTAATCTGGGAACCTGTAGAAGCTACAAGCATCTGAGAATTCAGAACATTTTGAATATGACATGTTGGTCATTCAGTGAAGTAGTGAAATGGACTAGAAGGGGCAATTATACTTAGCACTGTTTTTGTTATTTTTAATTTCACTTCCATACAGTTGCCAGAGGTTTTTGAAAATAATTCTATTCTAGTTTTTTAATCCTTGGGAAAGATTGCTTGTTCCATCATTCACATTTATTTCTAGAAGAAATTACTCTTATAGGTTACATTTTAAAATTGAAAGTCTTCTTTAAGAAGTCTATTTCATTCTCTGGAAGCTTAAAATATAGTTCAAGGGTATACTACTGAAAAATCAGTGGAAACACCTATGTCTCTAATGATTATGGTTCTGACTTCAATGGGACGACTCATGTACTTAAAATGTTATTATTATTCATTATTTATATCCTGAGAGCACCTAAAGATTCCAGTCATGGTTGGGACCCCTTTGTGCTAGGCACTGTACACACAATAGAATAGAACAGCATTTCTCAAATGGAGGTCTGCGGATACCTGAGGGGTCTGCGAGGGTACTCCAGGGGCCCCGGGGGCCCCGCTGATCAACTCTTCCTCCTTCCTCCTAAACACTTTCTGCATGCTGGGGAACAGTAGTTCAGCAGTGTGCAGGAGGTGCTGGGAGGGAGGGGAAGGAGTGGGGACAGGGCGCGCTCAGAGGAGGGAGTGGAATCATGTTCGGGGGCACTGATCAACTCCTTCCCCTCCCTCTGAGTGCCTCCTGTGTGCCGCTGAACAGTTGTTCCCCAGCAGGCAGGAGGCGTTGAGAGGGAGGGGGAGGAGAGGGGATGAGGCGCGCTTGGGGGAGGGAATGGAAAAAGGCAGGGAAGAGGAGGGGGAGGGGTGGAGCAGGGGTGGGAAGAAGCCTTGGGGGGAAGGGGTGGGGCGGAGTGGGGGGCAGGGCCTGGGGCTGAGCAGGAGGCTTGGGGGTCCATGAAAATTTTAAAAATCAAAATGGGGGTCTTCGGGTTGCTAAAGTTTGGAATAACCGCTGGAATAGAAGACACACCCTGTTCCTAAAAGGCAAGATAAACAAACATACAGAGATAAACAACAAAAAGTATGATACTATTTCTTCTCATTTTTCCTTTTATATAACACCCCCACTCTCCCACCAACCTCTGCTGTGTTCGCTGCTAGTTCATTACGTGGTTAAGTACTTTTCAGAATTGGCGCCTCTGTAGGCCCCATTTCTAGTTCAACACATGCCAGAATGCCCCTTAACTTAAAGTGTGGAAAAAATTCTACTCAGCAGTCACCCCATGTACAGTTTTGGTCACCCGTTTGCAGATTATTTCTGCCAAAGTAGAAATTAAAGGGGTAATGTGGCTTGTACATGGGAGCCAATTTCAGACCTGGAGGCATACATACACCAATGGTATCTTCAAGACCCTGCTCCAGGATACTCCTCTGGGGCATGTGATCCAGAAGGCCTGCAGAGCAACCTTGCTGCCACTTTTAGGGAGACCAAAATAGGAGTGGAAAACTTTTGTTTTGTGCATGGGAGACTGGTGGGTGCCTTATCAGGATGTGAAACTTGGAATATAGAGTAATGTATTCATTAATGCTAATTTAAAAGGGCATTTTGAGACTAATTTATAGTCTACAGTATCCTCTAGAGACTTGAAAACAAATACTCTTTATTTTCCCTTTTTCTACTTAAGAAGTGTTTATTTTATGTTTTTCTACCAAGGCAAGCATACAAATAGGTTTTGTTTATTTCTCTTCCAATGCATGGGCTTTGTTATATAATCTATGATAAAAGTAAATATGCGCACGTCATTGGCAATGCTGCTTTGTACCATAGTAGCAAACAGATATGTACGACCCGTTCTTGTTTTACCTCTTTAAGAGTCAACATCCGTTCAGTAGGTTCATCTCAGGTAGCAAAGCAGGCAGTGCACACATTGACCTAGATTCATTGAGAAACTGCATTTTCTAATGCTGCTGAAGTGAGCTTTGGATTTCTATTGCTGCATTTATTTCCCTTTGCCCACTCTTTTGCATTCACAAGCCTATATGAATTGTCAGTTACAGTTAGTAGTGTTGTGTGTTGCCTTTATACTAACATGGCAAGTACAGTTATGAGTGCATTGGGTCTAATATTATTCAGCTGTTATTAAAAAAAAACCCTTTTTGTCTACATGGGAACTTGTTCTTAAAAAAAGATCTAATCGTCCAGTCAGGATGACCATATTAGAGGAAGGGAAACAATCACAAACAGGCAGGACTCATGGAAGAGGTGGAGATATGTGCTAATGTGCTCATCCCTCCTCTCCTGAAGCATGCAGGAGCCCTCCTACATTTTGGACTCCATGGATGAAGAGGGATGGGAAATTTCTGATGGGCAGGAGATGAGACACCTGGGTCATACCATTTTCCATGGCATTTTCTCCCTCAAATCTTGCAGGCTTTCCCCACTCAAGATGATAGCACTTACATTGACAGCGAATCCAGCTCTGTTTCTGCAAACACTCCTCTTGATTAGCTGCAGGCTGAGGTCTGGGGCAAAATAACTCCCTTCATTGCTGTCATCTGGCATTAAGACTACAGTGGAGCCCTACCACTAGAGCCCAGATGCTGCTACAGAAACTCTGACGTCCAAAGGCTAGAGGAGTTTTCATGCATCATATAAAACATGATTCCCCATCAATTGGGACTTCAAGATTAGGCCTTTTGGGTAAATTTACTTACTTCAGAGGGTCTGCACTAAGCTCTTCACATCACTTAAGCCTGAATTATAAGACCTCTGTTAGGGGTTTAAATTGTCCAGATGGCTTCATACAGTCCTCTGCAGTAGGCTGAACTTCACCCTATGAGAATAGTGAAAAATTCCTTCCAAAGCACTTCCCCAGAAATCGGATAGCTACTCAGATATATCTACAATACTTTATGAGCAGTTGCAAGCAAGCCCAAATGTCTTTTTAAATGGCTTATTGTGTTAAAAGAAAGCATAATTATATATACTTTTTATGTCTGTGCTAAAATATATATGTTCAAAAGGGAAGGGTTTTTAAAAACACAGGTTGTCAGACATTTCAGCCTATGTTCAGATATCCTCTTTTTCCAAAATAATTGTATCTAAAGCACCGTTTCAGCTCACTCTAAAGAAATGGAAAGCCCTACCTTGAAAATGTGTGTTGGGGGCTCTTACATTTCTTGTGCTATATAGTTATGCACACAATATAGGCTGTCCACACTATTAAAGCAACAGCACTTCTCTGTATATTAAATTTGAAAATCTTACTGATGAGTTTCAGGAAACAATTTCAGAAAATTTAGGCTGCCCCCTTTAAGATTCTTAATAAATAAATTCCAGAAAAAAAAAAATCAGGTTTTTAGCCACAAGTCAAATAGAAATTCTGAACTGAGATTTTTAATTTTATTTTACACATGTAAACTGGATAGCCCCCACTCTGTTGCTGGACTTCTGCCTGCATTAGCTGCAGCTCATTTCTTTGTTGTTTTGTTTTTATCAGGGGGTGCTTGGCTTTAAGTTTAAAGAATGTTAAGTGTATCTAGCCCCCTGGCTCACACTCCCTCCTCTAAACTCCCTTGTGAAACTCCTTGTTAGCTGTTTCTAATGGGTGCTAAAGGGCTTAGGGGTTAAAGCCTCATTAAGAAGCTCTCAGCCTTGCCTAGCAGGCCGCTAGGCTTAGAACACACACAGTCAGCTCACCGTCTCCCAAACAAACAGACCACACGGTATATTTCAATCAAGCAGCAAGCACACCACAAACACACACACTACAGACAACCAACTTACCCCAAGGGTCACATAATCGCTTCTCCTTCACCTGGAGAACTCCCTTGCAAAACTCCCCTATTAGCCGCTCCTGTTCGCTAGCTCCTCTGGTTGCTTAGGAGCAGGCTTTTGAAAGCCCGTGGTTAAGGTTGATGGGTGCTAAAGGACTTATGGAATCAAAGCCTCGTTAAGAAGTTCTCAGCCTTGCCTAGCAGGCTGCTAGACTCAGCACACACATGCTAGTTCTTAGTAATTGAGTGAAACATATTTTAAAGAGATGCTTGAAATCTGAAAGGTAGAGTCAAGTGGATTATCATAACTTAATATAAATCAGAATTTGGACTTCCGCATATTGATGGTATCTCTCTGACATTTTATTTATAAGGAGAAGAATATAACTATCATTATAGTCTACAGGCAAATTAAAACAACCATCCAAAAGATGAGTTAGGAGTTTTCTTGTAACCTAATGTGAAAATAAACTGAAATAGATAAATGAGCAAATAACTTTCCTAATTACATTTTCTTGTATAATTTAATAATTTATTCTTTTTTAAATTTCACAGGTATATATAGTTCAAACATTTAGAACCAGAAGTCTTCTTTCTCCTGAACACTCTGTATGAAGGACTAATCTGACATCCTCTTCAGTCTAGCTGTTCAGTGAATTACCAACATTTTTGGTTTAGCCGAAGGAAAGCTTTCTTTGTCAGCCTGCCTGAACTGAACCTGACCCACTTACACCTTTTCTTTATTGCAAATGCCTAAGAACAGCAAGGTGGTAAAAAGAGAACTAGATGATGAGGTTATCGAGTCAGTTAAGGATCTTCTCTCTAATGAAGACTCTGCAGATGATTCCTTTAAGAAGAGTGAACTGCTGGTTGATGATCAAGAACATAAAGATGTAGATGTTGAAGAGGGGTCAGATGTAGAAGATGAAAGACCAGCCTGGAACAGCAAACTTCAGTATATTCTGGCACAAGTTGGATTTTCTGTAGGGTTGGGAAATGTGTGGCGATTCCCATATCTGTGTCAGAAAAATGGTGGAGGTAAGGGTCGGTTTTTACTAACTTGCCTTGCTGATTTCATTGTAAAAACCAGATAAATTTCTCCAGAGTCTCAAATTTATCTTTTAATTTTGGCAAGTGTTTATGAGAAGAAAGCACCCCATCTTTATTTTAGAGAGACAAATCTGCTGAAGGAAGCAGTACATTATTCTGATAAGCTTCTTTGGCCTTGTGTTTTGTGGTAGAATTTCCCTGTTCATGTAACTGTTTTATTTTAACTTAAATATTTGCTAAGCAAGGTCCTCTCATTTGTTATTTTCGTGGGCAGATTGTGGTATGTGAAATAGTTAGGGCCTGATTCTCAGTCAGGCTAGGCCTCCTTACATCAGTCAGGCAGTGTAAAGGGGCATTAAAATGGACATAAATGTAATGCACACTCACTTTAAGGACCAAATGAAGACTTAGCATAACTGAGCGTCAGGTCCTTTTTAATTAGATCACTACTTCCTAGATAGTTTGATCATGATCAGTTCTTTGCCAGAACAAAATATTATGGGAATGTAATGGAGTTTCTATAGGTAATGAAGAACTTTAATCATACAGTGTATAATATGAGACTAAAAGGAGTTAATCTAGATGTTAGAAGAACATACTGTGCTAGGATATAAAATTGCTTCACTTTTTCTTAATACCTTTCACATAAAAAAGAAACCACATCAAATTGCATATTACTTGTCTGTTTATACATGTCTTAGATACATTGTGAGGCTCGAGTTGGGGCCTTTCTTCAAGATATGCAACAATAGCCTATTAATCCACACCCTGGTATGGCTGACTGCTCAGCTGAGTTGAAAAAGAATCTGTCCATATTTGCTGAACAAAAAATGAGAAGGTTATAGAGAACTGAAAACAAACAAGAACTTTTATTCATGGTGGACATTTAGGGTCAGATCCTTCAAAATGTACAGACTGGGGCAACGGATGCCATTAAAGGCTACAGAATCAGGCCTAAAATAGTTATTTGAATTCCAACCTGTGGTCACAATGGCCCACATTCCATAGCTGCTTAGCTCTCATTCATTTCAAACAATGCAAGAGTTTCCACCCTTCATTTAACTTTAATTTGTACCTTTATTCTGGAGCTAGAACCATTAAATTGTTGGGTCCCTGTGGAATCTGACTCATTTCCTTGTCTCTGTGCTAAATAGGAAGTTCTGATTGAGAAAGTGGAAATTGGATATAGTGTTCTTGAAAGCCATATATTCTTTCTGTTTAAGGACTGTCTGTAGGCAGTATATGGGTAGGGTAGGGCTGATCCTGTATCCTTATTGGCAAACAAACAAGTTAAACTAATTCACATTCAGTAAAGGAGTGGACATTTTCTGCACCCATTTCAGTTTCCAAAGGGTATCGAGATGCAGTCCCATGCAGAGTGCTTTACAATAGTCTGTTTATCAAACTTATAGTTATTTTGTGAAGCTTTGATTAGTGCTAGTCAATTATGAATTTTGCAAACCCATTGCTTAATTCTGTGAACCAGCAGCACCAGTCTATCAGCTGCTTTCCTTAGAGCAAGGAAAGATTGTTTTGATATGGTCAGACATCTTTACAAGTACTGTGTCAGCTTGTGCTTGCCAAATTAATCCAGATGAAACACAAATTAACAATACAAATCTGGGATTGTGCTGTAGTCTGGGAAAATAAATCTACAGTGGTTGACATTAAGAGCTCAATAGTTGTCCTTCCGAAGTGAATGCAGTATCATGGTATCTCCTATTCTAAGTATAGGTAGATGTTATGTTTATTGCAGGTGCTGGGCCAGTGAATACATGGCTTAACAGTGCCTACTGCAGTCTGTTTTCTTTACTTATTTTATATCATTTTGAAGACAAGGTTAACTTCTGACTAGTAGAGAAGAATGAGAAATGTATTGATCTGTTTCCTGGTGATTTAAGATAACAATAAAGCACAATGGGGAGACTTTGATATAAATGGATACTCAAACATAGGTTTTGTTTCTTCTCTTTTTGCACACTCCAGATTTTAAGACTGTTCAATCTATTTTGCACTGCAATTAGAGTGCTTTTGCATACATTTCACAAAGCCTGTTTGAAATGTCTTTGTCAGAACTGCTCTACAAACTTGCACTGAGATCACTTGAATAAAGTATCTGCATGAGTTCTGATTATATAGCAAGGCACCTTCATGTAGATTTTCCAATAGAACAGCTTTTTCAATATGATAATATTTATTGACCTACAAACTTTAGTCTAATCCAAACTTTTGTTCTTTAACTATAAACTACTTATACTTGACAAATAACTGCAGACAATGAAGAGCCTCATGAATATTTTTAGAAATAAACCAATCAATTTCCAGCTACCAAAAATAATATATTTATTGACTAAAAAGCTTTCCATTAGAATAATAAATTTACTGTATTTCCTTATGTGTTTTAAAATGGTCAATAGTATGTAAACTTTTATGATGGGCTAACCTTCACCATTTTTATTCTTGACACTTGTGACTTTAAAGATGCAAATAACTATAGAAAAGAATTGTAGGCATCAGGCTGAATTGGTTAGAGATCATTTCTATAGTGAAAATATTGGTTTTATCCCAGTTCCTTAATGGGACTTGGCTAGACTGGCAATGGGACTTGGGTGCCCCCAAACACTTTTCCCTTCTCTGGTTCCAGATCTCCCTATTCACTTTGACTCCCTAGTTTACTAGTTCTCTCTCTCTGACCTTGGGGTTTGAGACCTTTTTTTGCTTGCTCCCTCTTTGCGCTCTTCCATAGTAACTTATTGATATTTTGACTCATATTTAGCATCGGACATATTGTTGACATACAGAGCACACCATGTTATCCACACATTGGTATGGAGACAGTTCTTATAATGTTTGTTTTTCAATATAGTCTGAAGAAAGAAAGAAAATGGAAATTGGTTGGGGGGAGTGATATCAAGGTTACAGGGATAAAATAATGTCAGTGTCAATTAAGGACACCTTACTTACTGTGACAAGGGTCCTAGTGGGGAGCCAGCTATGGTCACTCATTTAGGGTGACCTGCAAAGAATGGGGCAGACAATCCCCATAAAGCTGGTGGACATTCCAATACTTAGATTTATCAACCCAGCATAAAACAGCTTCTTTATTACCTTACTGGTTACTCAGAAGTCCAAACAACACAGTTCCCCTCAGGCCTCCATTCAGGTACCCATGATGAAAATTTCTGTAAATCTTATTTCATCATATAAAAGGAAAGGTTCTACCAATCCCAAAGGATCGGACACATTACCTCCCAGGTTAATGAATGTTTCAGATCTTACCCAAATACACGCTACAGCCAATTCTTATTAGCTAAACTAAAATTTATTAAAAAACAAAAGAGAGGGAGTATGGTTAAAAGATCACTATACATACAGATGTAGAGTTAAATTGATTGAGGTTCAGATTCATAGACGAGACGGTGAACTTTGTAGTTGCAAAGAGTTCTTTCAGGAATAGTTCATAGGTTATTGTTCAATGTCCAAATCTCATATTCAGGGTGTACCAGCATAACTGAGACCTCAGTCTTGGGACTCAAACTTCCCCTGATGAAGCCTAAGCAGATCTGAGAAGATAGAATCAGGGCCCAAGGATCTTTTATACAATTTCATGTCTTTTGACAAGTTAGAATTCCTCGGGGAACAAAACGTAATTAGGGTGACTTTGAAGGAGGTCCATCACCGGTACTTAGCTATATGAATTAACATAAGGCCATTTGCTTGTTCCTCCACCATTCACAGTACATTTCAAAGAGAGATGAATACTGAGATATCCTGTGTTTACAATTCATTTAAATGATAGGATGTTCTTTTGACCTCTGAATTATCAGAATACAGCATAGACAGGTACTGTTGATTACGTCGTTGACCCTAATCATACATATGTAAATACACAAAAACACAAACATTATCTGTCCACATGTCTTCTGAGAGTTATTTATTTTGCAGGATGTTTAACCCTTTCTAGCCATGCATCACACTTTCATAAAGAATGATGGTGTAAATGATGTCTAACCAAGATTTGCAATACTGGCTCACTAGGCAGACTTCATAGGACTTGCTGAGTCATATACTCACATTAGGAACTCCACAAAATACAGATCTAGGAAACTCTTAAATATCGTCAACAGTATTTTTCTACCTGGAGCGCTTTTGGAGTTGATTATTTCCATGCACATATTTGACCGTGATACATTTTATTTAATCACACATTTTTTATATTTCAGTTCACAGCTTTCTCTAAAGTGCTGAGTCATGCACAGCTTTAATCCAAGCATTCTGAAATTGATAGTTTGGGATGTCAGGTCAGAAAATATGACAATAACATCATATTACTATAGATAATTTTATTAGAGTACAAATATATTTTATATACAGATCTGAACTATAAAGCTATATTAACACATATTTTAATGTTACAACTTGCAGCTTCAAAAGGAAAATAGGCATAGAAAGTGAAATCTGGACATTAATCTTTATAAGTTAAATTCTAAAACTTTATTTTGAATATACATATTTGAACATACATCATTAAGTCTGGGCCAAATACTTAGAGCTATGCAGAATATCTGAGGCTTGATCTTGTGACATGCTAAAGATTCTCAACTCCTTTCGACTGACAGTGGTAATTAAACAGCTCTCAAGGTTCCACTCACTGCATTCAGTCCAACAAGTAATGGCAAACCAGACCTTTTTCTCCCTAGGGGAAATACCAGCAAAATCAATTGCTTAAAATTTTCATCTTGATACCAAGAACAACTAATACAGATTACCTATTCTGCTAATATTAAGTATATTTACGATAATCATATCCTGAAGCATGCGAAACACATTCATGTCCCATGGGAGTTGTATGTGTTTATTAGTAGCTTGATTGGGCTTCAGTTGCCATGAAGGTGAATTTTAAGCTCTTGATTTTCCTAGCATTTAGCATGTCAATCCTTTCTGTATTCCTGTTGAGCTAAAGAGTAGGAAGAGCAAGTAATGATGAGCAAGCTGATAAGTATAAGCAGCAGCAGGAAAGCTATAAAGTCTACTTCATCATTACTTGTTGAAATGCCTGTACTGACTGGAAACACATCAGGGGCTGTTAATGGGGTAGCCTGTATTTTCAAACTGAAATATCAGCAGATTGAACAGTATAGGTTGTGAACTGATAACACAAAAAGGAAGCGGTCATTTCTGAGAATTATGAAAAAAATAAATGCTGAAATTTTAGTGATCAGTAATTCAAACCCACAGTTCCATTGACTAATCTTACTAAAATAAAGTACAAATTAGACACTCTTGAGGTTTCCAAGTCTGAGTACAGATGGATTCATTAATGAATTCTTGATCAATAACCTGTAATAGATGGTTTCAAGTTATCACATGTGACTATAAGAGTTTCTCTCAAGTTCAACTTTACAAATTCTAGTTTGAACTGTATTATTGAGTGTGAGAACTTATGAGCGTGCTGCAATGAAGTATATTGAAGTATATTGCAAGTTTAATTCTCATTCCATTAAAGCTAATTGCTCAAGGCTAGTTTCAACCCTAAACATAGCATTACTAGCTGTAACTGAACAAATTAAGACTGTGAAAGATCACTTGAGTGAAACATTTAGTAGTTTTTAATACCTATGTGTGTGTGTGCATGTGTGTATGCAAAATTAATATTCTTACAGGAGTAAACAAACCAATTTAGAATATATAATCCAGTAGGACACTAAACTGCAATATTAGGTAGTCTACCTCGATTTATTGTAACTCGCATAAATTTAGACATTTAAGATGTGCTGGCTCACATCTCTGGCTGCCAGACCAATGATTCCTGATGCTGAGTATACAGAAAGCAGGTGACATAAAGTTTTGGACCAAATCCTACTCAAAGTAATGCCAAAACTCATATTGGTTTCAATGGGACCAGAATCAGATATTTAATATTTAGAGAAAAAAATGTCAGCAGCAATAATTTAAATAAATCTGAAAATATACTTTTTAGATTTATCAGCACATACCAGCAGTGAGTGACAGAAAGAAGGTCCTGTTAAAAGTGACCTAACTGTATGAGCCAGGGTATCATACATAAAATGCTGCATCTGTGATTTGACAGAAAAATATTTTTAAGATATAGAACAGAACTCTTGCATGAAAATACAGAAACATACCAAACTGTGACACTCAAGGGCTATCTTGAAAGTTGGCATGTAGAGCCACTTTTACCTATGTACTGTGCTAATTTAGGATGCTATTAGTAAATATGGCCAAATGTTGCCCAAATTGAATAGGAATTATCCTCATTTGTCATGTACGCTACAACACTCATGTGCCAAGTTTTCATGCATTGGCAAGAATGCTTACATATAATTCCAATTTGTGACAGTGAAAGGATGACACTGCAAGAAGCTGAAAGAAGCTGAAACAAAACATATTTGTTCTGATTCTATGCTGACTAGGGTGACCAGATAGTAAGTGTGCAAAATTAGGATGGGGTGAAGGGTAATAGGCACCTATATAAGACAAAGCCCTGAATATCAGGACTGTTCCTCTAAAATTGGGACATCTGGAACACCCTGATGCTGACCTACACCTGTGCACTGAAAGTAACAGAGTTGCACAGGGTATAAAACAATGCAGAATTATGCCAGGGTAAATTTGGCCCATTGGTTTAATTGATAAATCTTCCAACCTACAACTGGTCTACAAAAGGGCCCCAATTCAGCACAGGAATTAAGTATGTGCTTAACTTTAGAGCCTTGTGGTTAAGCTTGTAGATTGGTGTGCTGAAGACATGGGTTCAGGTCTTGCTCTAGTACACACATCCTGGGTAACATTAGTCAGTTAAGTCTGGTTTTTAAAGTTATTTAAGCACTGCTCCACTCACCATTAGAAGGCCCAAGAAATTTAGACAGCTAAGTCTTATTTTCAAAAGTGACTTAGGAACTTAGGAGCCTAAATCTCACTGCAAGTTTTTTGCAACATCACACAATTCCTGTATAGGTCAAAAATGTCCACTTTTGCTGCTCTGATAGCAGTTAACACACACACAGTGTCTGAAGGTAGGTTGATTTAGCATGTGATTACATCACTACTACTCTGATGAGTGTGGTTATATGCACACAAAATCTAGCACAATCAAGTAGCCAGGTCAGAGAGCACTCATTCCTTGGCAAGGTTTGGCTCGAAATGATATGCACTTACTTAACAGAAAATGCATTGTAAACATGAGATTTCGTGGCTTTTCAAATTTTAAAAGATTCATGGGCATTTTCCAATGAATACTACACTATCTGTATGATGGAAAACCATTTCTACAAGTGACAGGCAGAGATTAAAACTGGAAGGGTATCAGCTGCTTTAATAGAATCATAGAACTATGGGGCTGAAAGGGACACTGAGCGATCATCTTGTCTATCCCCAGACTTTTTTTCCTGCTGATAATAGTTTACCTAATAGCTCAACTTAATTAATTATTCTTGTTACAGTTGGTATGGCAATACCCATTTTTCATGTTCTCTGTGTATATATATATATCTTTCTACTGTATTTTCCAATGCATGCATCCGATGAAGTGGGTTTTAGCCTATAAAGCTTATGCTCAAATAAATTTGTTAGTCTTTAAGGTGCCACAAGTATTCCTCGTTCTTTTTGCTGATACAGACTAACACAGCTACCACTCTGAAACCTGTAATTTATCTAAATATTCTTTAATCTGTTCTTTCCCTATTCTGGTCGGTAATCTTTTTCACTTGTTAATATTGTGTTAAGCATCTAGTCACAATTAATCTTTTTAATGGAGACTGAAGGGAAAAAACACACACACATTAAAGACTTCAGCCACTTGTGGTCATCCATTATTTGTTCTCCTTTCAGAAATTTATACCTGCCCCGACTTAGAAGACTCTTCCTCATCCTAATAGTGATTGATGTCCTCTTGTTTTCATAGGTGCATATCTTGTGCCATATTTAATTTTGCTGATGATAATAGGGATTCCACTTTTTTTCCTGGAGCTTTCTGTGGGCCAGAGAATCCGACGAGGAAGCATTGGTGTATGGAATTACATCAGCCCCACGCTTGGTGGAATTGGATTTGCAAGCTGTGTAGTAAGTTTGTAATTTACATAGTTTGATGTTCTCCAGAGCATCACAATGAAATACATTGGGACTTTCTGCTCAGTTTTAACCAAAGGTTAATAATTTTTGTCCTAGCACCAGGGCCAATTTACAATGTTTACAAAATCTGTAAAACTCATATTGTAATATATAAAAATATTAGTCTTTTGGGATAAAGAGTCTGCTAAAATATTAGCAAGATATGCAGGATAAACACAGAAAAAAACAAGAATTTGGAAAATATTGGACTTTTAAATATATCCACAAGGGCCAAATCACAGAGCTGTTATTCATTCCTTACTCAATTTTAGGTAGTGCAAGATTTAGCTTGTTTTATTTACTTTAACTTAAGATATGCAGTTGTTCAATAAAACTTTTAAAATATCTTGTTTTATCCTTCAGGTATGTTTCTTTGTGGCCCTCTACTACAATGTGATCATTGGATGGAGTTTGTTTTACTTTTCTCAGTCGTTTCAGCACCCCTTGCCATGGGATCAGTGTCCTTTGGTGAAAAATATTTCTCATACATGTAAGTCTTGGATATATTCTTTTTTTTTTACAGTCACTTTGGGCCTGATGCAAAATCCACTGAAGTCAAGGGCAGTCTTTGCACTGATTTCAATGGGCTTTGAGTCAGACCCTATATTTGGCTATTGCCATTTAAAAAAACAACAACTTTTTTTTAGGGCTGTCATGATTAATTTTTTTAATCACATGATTAATCACAGTGTTAAACAATAATAGAATACCATTTATTTAAATATTTTTGGATGTTTTCTACATTTTCAAATATATTGATTTCAATTACAACACAGAATACAAAGCGTACAGTGCTCACTTTATATTTATTTTTATTACAATTATTTGCACTGTAAAAAACCAACAGAAATAGTATTTTTCAATTCACTTAATACAAGTACTGTAGTGCAATCTCTTTATCATAAAAGTTGAACTTACAAACGTAGAGTTATGTACAAAACAAATAACTGCATTCAAAAATAAAACAATGTAAAACTTTAGAACCTACAAGTCCACTCAGTACTATTTCTTGTTCAGCCAATCGCTCAGACAAACAAGTTTGGTTACAATTTGCAGGAGATAATGCTACCCGTTTCTTGTTTACAATGTCACCTAAAAGGGAGAACAGGCGTTCACATGGCACTGTTGTAACCAGAGTCACAAGATATTTATGTGCCAGATACGCTAAAGATTCATATGTCCCTTCATGCTTCAACCACCGTTCCAGAGGACATGTGTCCATGCATCCATGCTGATGATGGGTTCTGCTCAATAACGATCCAAAGCAGAGTGGACCGATGCATGTTCATTTTCATCATCTGAGTCAGATGCCACCAACAGAAGGTTGATTTTCTTTTTTAGTGGTTCGGGTTCTGTAGTTTCCGCATCAGAGTGTTGCGCTTTTAAGATTTCTAAAAGCATGCTCCACACCTTGTCCCTCTCAGATTTTGGAATGCACTTCAGATTCTTAAACCTTGGGTCGAGTGCTATAGCTAATTTTAGAAATCTCACATTGGTACCTTCTTTGCATTTTGTTAAGTCACCTGTGAAACTGTTCTTAAAACGAACATGTGCTGGGTCATCATCCGAGACTGCTATAACATGAAATATATGGCAGAATGCGGGTAAAACAGAACAGGAGACATACAGTTCTCTCCCAAGGAGTTCTGTCACAAATGTAATTAATGCATTATTTTTTTAATGACCATTATCAGCATGGAAGCATGTCCTCTGGAATGGTGGCCTAAGCATGAAGGGGCATGTCAATGTTTACCATTTCTGGCACATAAATACCTTGCAACGTCGGCTACAAAAGTGCCATGTGAACGCCTGTTCTCACTTTCAGGTGACATTGTAAATAAAAAGCAGTCAGCAGTATCTCCCATAAATGTAAACAAACATGTTTGTCTTAGCGATTGGCTGAACAAGAAGTAGAACTGCGTGGACATGTAGGCTCTAAAGTTTTACATTGTTTTGATTCTGAGTGCGGTTATGTTACAAAAAAATCTGCATTTGTAAGTTACACTTTCACGTTAAAGAGATTGCACTACAGTACTTGTATGAGGTGAATTGAAAAATACTACAGTAAAAGCTGTTTTATCCAGCACATCTCCAGCTGGGAAGCTCTATAAACCAGCATTTCTGATCTTCATTGAAATTCCAGTTTATAGTCTGGTTGGTGTGGGGCCAGCGGGGCTTGGGGCACAGGAGGGGGTGTGGAGCGCAGGCCCTGGGATGGAGTTTGGTTGCGGGAGAGGGTTTGGGCCGTGGGAGGGAGTGCCGTGACCTGTCCCGGCTGTTCCTAGGCGGCGGCATTGCAAGCAGCTTTGCGCGCTGCCCCCGTCCTGCCCTGAGTGCTAGCAACGCAGCTCCCATTGGCTGGGAACTGCAGCCAATGGAAGCTGCGGGGGTGGCACCCGCGGGCGGAGGCTCAGGCAGTGTGCAGAACTGCCTGTCGCGCCTCCACTAGGAGCAGCTGGGACAGGTCACCGCTTGCAGGGAGCCACTCCAAGTGAGCAGCCTCGAGATCTGGCACCCCGCACCCCCTCCCGCGCCCCAAGCCCCCTCCTGCACCCAAACTCCCTCCCAGAGCCTGCTCCCCACACCTCCTCTCCCACCCAAACTCCTTCCCTGTTAGATAACCAGCATTTTTCACTTACCGGCATCCCCTATTCTTCCTAACATGCTGGACAAAACAGTTTTTACTGTATTTCTTTTATAATTTTTACATTGCAAGTATTTGTAATAAAAAATAATAATATAAAGTGAGAACTGTACACTTTGTATTCTGTGATGTATTAGAAATCAATATTTTTGAAAATGTAGAAAAACATCCACAAATATTATTAAATTTCAATTGGTATTCTGTTGTTTAACACTGTGAGTGCGATTAGTTTTTTAATTATGATTAATTTTTTTGAGTTAATCGCGTGAGTTAACTACGATTAATTGACAGCCCTACTTTTTTTTAACCTACTATTCTTTAAGTAACACCTAAGATTAATGTAACTGAAAGAGACTAGAGAAAAAGATATATTTTCTGTGTATTTTTCAGTTATTTTGCTTTGTATATTTGACAGCATGCCGTGTATAGTCCGTTTCCATGGGTGGCAGGTGGAGCCCCCCTTCGGGAAGGCTAGCCCCCGTCTCCGCCTCTTCTGCCCACCTCCCACCCCCTGCGGATGGTACCCCGAGACCCCCTCCCCCCCCCAACCGGAGCCACAAGCCCCCCTCTCCTGCAGGAGCCCCTCCCCCTCTGCCAGAGGAGCTCCGGGCCAGCCGAAGCCCTGAGCCCCCCACAACACACACCTGCCCCAGAGTCCCAAGACCCTCATGGCCAGAGGAGCCACGGGTCAGCCGCCCTTTGCAGCCATGCTGTGCCTCCCCAAACCCAAAGCCACCCTGCGGAAAAAGTGTCTCTTCTGTAAAAAGAACATGAGCTTTTGATATGCCCCATGCAGGTTCCGGGGAGGCTGAGGAGGCAGTATGTGCTACTCAGCTTCCTGGCTTCATCAGTAATATCCCTGGACTCCAGAGTGATTACTGATCAATGCGGGAAGCTGAGTAGCAGATACTATCTTCTCAGCCACCCCAGAACCTGCATGGGGCATAATAACAAGCAAAAACATCCTCCACCAAACCTGCAACAGGGCGTCCAGCAGCAGTGGCTGCCCCATGGGAGGCTGAGCTGGCATATTATACTCGCCATCCATGTCCATTTCCCTCTTTCCCCTATATAATGCTTCAGTTATCACTTTAGCTTTGTCTGAGATTTTTATACAGTACAAGGGGAGAGAAATGTTTTTTTCAAACCATTCCAAATATTGACAGGAGGATTCAGGGACAGATGTCTGGTCTGTACAGGTGTCAGTATTGTCCTGAGACTACCTTTACCTCATTGAAAGAAACACTGACTAGATTTTAAACCTAAAATAAGGCAGATATGGCATTATGATGCATAAAAAGAAAAATAAACCACCTCATGTCTAAGACAAATAGGCAGACTTTGCAAAAGGCCTAATAATGTAAAAAGGTCATTTGAAGGGTAACTGGGTTGGTTGAATGCTGTCCTCTTAGGAAATGTTTTGATGAGGAAAGTTATAGGCTAAACTATAAATATACTTTTCTAATTTTAATAGTGAGTTTTATATTTACTTTGACTTCGAAGATGTAATCTCAGAGGAAACTTTTCTATATTTAATACTGTATGTCAAAGCTCCCTGTGGCTACAACAAGGTGTTTTCTTTGAAGACATAGTTGTACATTGATAAGATTTGGATTTTATTTTCCAGTAATGATTTCAGTGGCATGTTTGTTCAGTGTCCTAATGAAAACACGTTAGACAACAGAAAGCCCAAAAGAACCAGTGAGTTAAACAATGTTATGTCTGACTCATAAATAAGCAGGAATCAGAGAATTAGTGATTGGTTTATACTCATAATGCAATAATCCTATCCTGGCACATTATGAAACACAACTAAGTGCTTCTTATACCTAGGATTTGATTACCTCATGATGATCTGACCATACACCTAGAAGTAGGAAACATTTCTTTTGATTTTTTTAATTTTTATTCTTATCTTAAATATTAAGTGTGTGCTGGGTTTTTTTTTTTTTCTGCATGAAGAAGATGACCAGGGTAATTTGAAATGTTGCAAATAATTTCTTTATGAAGTTTTTTCCCAGTTTTGATTGCTTCTTCAATACCTGGAGGCAGATCCCCAGTTCATATAAGTTGTCATAGCTTCATAACTGCCAGGCAAACGTGTACTAGCCATAATGGAACTAGGACAATTTATACCAGCTCAGGATCTGCCCTTTGTATTAATTAGATTTAAAATAAACCTCTTTCCTCCATAAGCTATTTTGATTCAAGAGCTAGATTAGAAATGCTATCATTTAAAAATGTAAGTGAATTTTATGAGTCTTTTTTTTTAAATCCTTTAAAATACATTTTAACTATTCTGTTTGATAAGTATAAGATTACTGGAAAACTCATAGTAGCATTACAGTACTATAAAATATCACTACTGTAATACACATAACCACTTTCAGTTCAACAGAACAATATAGGACCCTGTTTTCAAGTGCTTTAACACTTTGGTATCATTAAATCATTATTTTGACTTGTAAAATAGTCATTTATGTGCCTACCTGCCAGACTCTGTGTGTGTGTGTGTGTGTGTGTGTGTGTGTGTGTGTGTGTGTGTGTGTGTAGTGTGTGTAGT